GGGGGAGGGGGCAGGTATCCACGTAGTAGTTGGGATTGGGGCTGGCCCCTCAGAACTCTCCACTGGTCCCTACTCCACGCCACAGCCCACTGTTTAAGAACAACACTCCCACTGCTGGATCTTCAGGCTCAGCTTCATAATGGCAGTTACATAATTAATCAAATGCTACCTCAAAAAGATGCCCTATTTATAGCAACAGCTGTGATATCTCTACTCCCCTGCTTCTCCAGTCCTCACAGCTGAAGGTGCTCTGAACTTGAGATGCAATTGTCAAAAGGGTCCAAATGTGTGGGGAGTGGGGAGTCCCCCACAAATCATCACAGGTCCCGTAGGTGCAATTGTACAGCGCTAATAAGTAAAGATTACAGTAAAGTCATAGCATGAGAGGTAGAGGAGAGATTGGAATAATGGAGTCAGACACAATTCATGGTAGCATTCTCACCTCAGCCCCGCTTGATGGTCCTCTTTGGGGGAACCCGGCCACGAGAGCAGGAGAGAGCCTCTGGGGCAAGAGCAAGAAAACCCCAACTTTATTGCTAACCAAGGGGTATATCTCCTTAGGGGAACATGATTACAGAATCACACGTCTCAAGAAGGGGCAGTACAATAGGCATACACATTGTAGGAAGGGGATGTATGATAGGCATAAGCATTACAGGAAGGGGATGAGCTAGGGGTGTGCCCATAGGAATGAGAAGGTCTAGGCAGGGGTATACATGTGACAAGATGGGCAGACCCTAGATTCATGATGGCAGCCTAACCTTGGTCATCCTTGAGTGGGTCTTCTACAAGGAAACAGACAACTACTATCCTTATCAGAAGGGAGTGGGCCCTATTTGTTGTGGGATAAACAGTGGTGTCTGCTTGGTCTAGATGGCTGATAGCTCTTAGGGAGAATGACCCCTGATCTACTCCTGATGATCTCCAAGTGTATAGTAATTCGCAAGCAGCTAAGTTTGCCATATATTTGGGGGAGACAACTTGGGAGAAATCCATCTGTTTCCCACACAGATGAAGCCTACTGCTTGTTAGCCTTGTATTTTTCAATCTTTCATTAGTGAATCCTGAATGTACCCATATTTATGGGGCCACAAATTTCCCTTTAGTTGCCTGGAAGCCACATTATTTCTTTAAGGAGTAATTGGCAACATCATTTTTAAAAGGAGTCCTTTAATTTTGGTCCTACATGCAATGTAAACATTAGGAACCTCTGGCTATTTTTAGTATTTGCTTTTTTTTTCTCTTAACTTATTAGGTCTAATACAGATATTTTCTATGTTTAGATTTTCTAGATTATTTCTTTTAGCAAATGGGGAAAAGAGATTCAAATTTGTTTCTTCAAGTTTCCAAGAAGTTCTTATAATGCCTTTGGATTTTTATTTTTAGGATATGTGAGCAGCTTTCTAACATAAAATTAACTATTAGTGATCCTTCTCACTCATTATAAGCAGGTTGAAATGATTTCTCAGTGATTTGGCCCTGAAGAACTGAGTAGTTTCAGAATTCTGCTCAATTCGGTGGCTTATAGTCCACAACTGAGAAGTCCTTGCCTTGTTTAGATCGTTTCTCCCTTGAAAGAGATTTTGCCCTGTTTCTGACACTTGGACAACCTAGCATTTTCCCTGACATTATATTTACCACATTATAAATCATGATAGTAAATATTTCTGTGTCCTAAATTGTAAAAAAACATTTGCTTTTCTATGTGGAATAAAGTAAAACAGCAAGTAGTACCATGGGGGGAAAATTGTTCGTTTTTCCATCCTCTGCTCCCCAAAGGGCTACTTTAGCCTCTGTCCCAGGGATCTGCCTGTGTTCTACAACAGGGCAGAATTGCCAGCATGACGAAACAAAAACCATGCTCACTGCCATTGAGCCAACACCAACTCGTAGCGACGCCACAGGACAGGGTAGAAGAGCTGCTCCTGTGAGCTTCTGCGACCGTAACTTTTTTTTTTTTAATGGGGGCTCTTACAGCTCTTTTTTTTTTCCTTGCAGCTCTTGTAAAAGCCCATACACCCATTATGTCAAGCATATCTGTACATATGTTGCCATCATTCTTTTCAAAATGTCTTTTAAAATTTGGTATTTATTTATTTTTATTTTTTTAATCATTTTATTGGGGACTCTTACAGCTCTTATAACAATCCATACATCAATTGTATCGATCACATTTGTGCATATGTTGCTATCATCATTTTCAAGCATTTTCTTTCTGCTTGAGCCCTTGCTATCAGTTCATTTTTCCCTCCCTCCCCACCTTCCACCCTCATGAACCCTTGATAAATCATAAATAATTGCTATTTTCATATCTTGCACCATCTGCTGTCTCCCTTCACCCACGTCTCTGCTGTCTGTCCCCCTGGGGGACATTATGATTGGTTTTGATCATTATGATCTGTTACTTCTTTCTCCCCATAGAGTTGAGAAATTCATTTTTCAGTAGAATGGACATGACTACTCTTTGAGGGGGGTCAGTACTTTTGGGGGTTGAACATTCATTGCATTCTAAGGCTGTGTTTTTCAGCGATGACTGTGTGTAAATTCCAAATGAGAAATGTTTACGCAAGTCATAGTACCGAATAAACTCAGTAAAGTACCTGGCCCTCCCTGGGCCATGACTTGTGAAAATCTCTTCCCTTTTTCCTTCAAGGCAACACTCAGGTAAACCCATAAGCACTCCCACCTCCTAAGCCTCAGAAGTGTTTTGAAATATGCCAAGGCTATATATACTTTCTTTCTCTTCTGACTCATCCTCCAATTTTCTAGAACCTGTATCTTTGCACCTTGTACAGCTTAGAGCCTCCTACACCAAACCAAACCATGCCCATTGCGGTCAACCCAATTCCGACTCATAGTATTCCTGTAGATAGAGTAGAACTGCTCCATAGGGTTTCCAAGGCTGGAAAGCTTTCCTCACGTAAACAGACTGCCACATCTTCCTCCCATGGAGCAGCTCCTGGGTTCAAACCACCAACCTGCCAGCACCCCAGCACTCACCCCACCCCACCACCAGAGCTTCTTTGGGGATTCCTGCTCCTCTCCTTTCAGGCCCATTTCCCTGCTTCTGCTCTCCTTCCCACCTCACTATTCATGCTGGAAGGACAAGGACAGAATGCCACACTGATGAGTAGATGACTAGAGTCCAGTCCTAGCTCTATGCCTGACTTGTTAGGGCCTGTTCTTTCATCTGGAGAGTGGGGAGATTACATTGGAATAACCTAACTAAGGTCTCCACCCTATGAATTTAAAACCAACTCACAAAAGCATGAATAATTGGTGTCTAAGGAATTTGCATTTGGGTGACAATACCTACATTGACTAATCTAGCAAGGAGGGAGGAGGTGTCCCAGCCCTGGGACTGTAACCTTATACCTTGCATTCTAGAGAAAAGGTCACTTGCAGCTTTTGCTTCCTTCCTTTAGGGACTGCCTTGGCCTCACTGTGGCTCACTTAGTGCCCACCCCCGCCGCCGCCCCCCCAAAGGAAGAACTGTGAAGAGAACAACCAGGTAGAAAGGACTGCTAATAAAACTAGCCAAATATCCAGAAGCAATATTGTGTTTGTATGGGGACAAAGCACAATCATCACTTACACTTTGCATCTAGTTGGTATACCCTTTTATTTAGTCTTTCTTAATCTGAATAGCTCTTGCCTTTTTTTTTTTTTTTTCCATGACTAGTTTTCTGTAGATTATCTCACATTGTTTTCTCAGGATAAGATTAAGGTGAGCTATTCTGAGGAAGAGTATTATGCAAGCAGTAATACATTTTTCTTTCACACATCAAAGACATCGTGTCAGGGTGTCTTGCTATTGCTGATGCTGTGTTAACCCCTTGGTTAAAGATGGTAGCCACCAGGTCTCTCGATAAAGATATTTTTCCTATTGCAGTCTACGGATGATGCTGTGAGGTTTTTCTGACTGGCCCATTCCCTAATGCTTCACCCAGTGGTTTTCAGATCAGTGTTATTTCTTGCTTAAGTAAAGCCACCATTAGCCACAAGATACCTTTTCATGTGCCGCTAGGGAAGAAAAAACGCTGCCAGTCATAACTGAAAAACACTATACATTATATAGTGCTTCCCAATTTCAGAGATGTTAAAAATATATCTTACACAATGAAATATAGTTGTTATACTAAAACCACCTTTACAGAAACATGTATGAGCTACACAACTTTCAGTCGAGGCTTTGGAGATCAGTGAGTTAGTTTATTGTGCCAACCTGGCTGATAAACACATGTGGGATTAATTGAAGACGGAGGGATAAATGGGTGGTGAGCCTCGCCTTTCTGGTTCTCTGGTCTCTTGTTTTCTGATGGTCACACCAGCGTGCAGCTGCCTTAGCCAGTTCCCTGCTTTAGCTGGCAAGGCTCACTTCTTGCAAGACATCCCTGAGGAGAAGCCACATGGACCTACCCTG